CACCCCGAATTATCTCTGGACCACGACTGGGGGGCTGGTGGGGTGCCTCTTATCAGAAGGCGATGCCAGGTTGTCACTCTCAGGATGCGGCTGTATGATGTGCCCGGCGGGGCCACACCGAGATGCCTTCTACATCGTCCCCGGGGGCCTAGAGAGGGTTCCAGTTAGGTGAGGTGACACAGAGCTCACTCCGTGGACCCTGAAGGCGGACCACATGTCCTCCAAGATTCCCACCCTCATTTTTTTTTTTTTTTTTTTTTTAGGAAATCCTATTCTCTAAGGAACTCAGCGGTTTCAGATGCAAGAGAACCGCGGACGGGGGTGCAGCCCGGCTAGCAGGGTCCCACTCCGGTTCTTCGAGGTCTGAGACTACACAGAGCAGCCTAGGAAGAGCGCAGGGAACAGGCTCGGGGCTCCACGGGGCCACCTAAAGACCTCAGCCCGCCTCCCCTCCGGGAGCCAGAGGTTTGCAACAGAAAGTTAGAACTCTGTGTCAAGCCCTTCAAGCAAACAATAAATATTACTTCTGCTCATAATCAGACTCTTCTCTAGCACCGTCTTTGAATGTTGAACCTTTTTCAATTAATTAAAAACTATGCACTGCGGAGTGCATATTTTATCAGCCCTCAGCTGCTTAGCAGTTTTTCTTTCTTTTTTTTTTTTTTCTTTCTTTCTCTTTTTTTTTTTTTTTTTTTCTTCTTCCAGGCAACCCAGAGCAAGTACTTGCAAGGGGTCATATCTTTTTAATTATCTTTTCTCTCTTTGATTAATTATTCCGTCTGACAATAGCGTGTTTCTAATGCTATTCACCTGCCTTTGATGATTGACAACTTTTCTGTCTGATTCAGAGCAAACAGCTGCTGCCACGATCTCCTAGCAACCCGGATGTGATGGATGAACCCCCAAGATGGATGGCTGCAATAAATCATGTCTCCAGCCATAAAACTGAGAAAAGGGGATAAGAAGAAAAGCGAACAAAAAACAAAACAAGCTTTCTTCCCATGAGTGCACTCAGCTCCTCACCAATTATACCTGAAATGGACTTTGCACCTATTAATAGCAAAGTTGTTTTTTTTTTTCTAATCAGTAAAAATGGGACGATGCCATTTGTAGCGAAGGTGTTTACAATCGTCCCTGCAAATGGACTCTTGTACTCCAATTACCTCCAACGCTGCCCAGGTGCAAGGGCAGGCGACCAAAGTTTTGCCTTCTTCCGAGAAGTCTCAGCAAAGAACAATATCGTCTTTTTTTTACAGCTGGATAGGATTCCGGGCGCCCAGGAAGGGCACAGATCTGACGCTACCCGGTTTGGGGCAAGCAGCTGGGGGACACCAAAAGTGAATCCTAAGTGATGCTTGCGTGCCGTGCAAAGTGTTAGACTGCTAATAAACTTATTTCAAAACACACACACACACACACACAAAGTTGCCTGGAGTCACTGAGCGAACCCGTAGCATCTCTATTCCTTTCCTGTTCAGGGCACATGCAGGCTTTTTTACACGTCAGGGGAAAGTTTGTCCCGGAAGCGGCAAGATACGAACGCTCCAGCCCTTTCACAAATTCGAGATTGTCACCTTCTTTAGATTTAAAAAAAAAACAAAAACAAAAACAAAAACAACAACAACAAAACTCTTCTGGTCTAACTTTCTCTGCCATCCTATTTTAAAATGAATGTCCACACCTTAAGTCATAGGAGAAGCGTTCTGTTTCATTAGCAAACCCAAATAAAGTCACAGATCTCATAGAATCCCTGCCAGTTACGTGGGACTATCGGGGCTCTCCTGGTGGACAGAGGAGGCTGAGGAGGAGGAGGAGGAGGAGGAAGAGGAGGAGGAAGGCCAGCAGAGTTTGTTTTCTGGTTTTCCTTTTCCCACCAGGGAACCAGGCCCCAAAAAGGCTTCTGCTGCAGGAGAAGAGGTTGCAGGATCCTCCCAGCAGCTGGGGGCTCCATCTAAGCCGGCCTGCACGCGTCTCTAAATACCTCCAGTAGGTGGGGGTGTCCGGGTGCACAGCGCTCAAGGGAGCAAAAGAACCAGAAGGGACTGGCTGGCAGGGCCTGGAAACAGCTGTGCACATCAGTCCAGGCGGGGTCGGCGGGCCGGGCGGAGGGGGACAGAGTGCAGACACAAAGGGAGGGGCTGCCCAGAGCCTGGGGGAGGGGGAGCAGGGAGCGGCAAAACATCTTTTTTTTTTTTTTTAAATCTGAAATATTTCCCCCAGACCTGGAAGTCTTTACATCGTCTCTTCATTCTCACACTCCTCACCAAGCCAACCAGAATTCTTCTTCTTCTTCTTTTTTTTAATAGTTATATTGTGCTAAGCCTTTCAGATACAGATTGGAAAAGAAGAAGATGAAAAAAAAAAAAAAAACAGAAGCATGACACAAGAGTTTAAAAAAAAATCAGGCAAGGGCTCTGGCTTCAGCAACTCCAGCTCTGTTTATATTTTAATGTTTTGTACGTGAGTGCTTCCATGAGGAAGGAGGAGAGAGAGAGAGAGAGAGAGGGAGGGAGGAGAGAGAGAGAGAGGGAGGGAGGGAGACAGAGAGAAAGTTGCCTGCTAGCTTGAGTGTACATCAGAGATACTTCATTTTTTTTTCCCCCTGTGTCCTTGGAAATTATTCAAAATTAAAATCTTCCTTCCCACCCCCAAAGCTTTATTTTTTTGGGGGGGTGGGGGTAAGGAGGCAGGAGGGGGTTTCTTCTCTCTTGTCAATGGGAGGCTTGTGCCTGTCCAGCAGCAAGGAGAGCCCAAGGCCGATCGACAGAAACACACACAGAGGCCTCTCCCCGGCCCCCTGCTCGACCAACTCTCAAGTTACAGGTTTACCCGGCAAGTCTAAATAATATTCAGAATGATAAATGGTACCCGGAGCCCGGCACCCACCATCAATCTTTTTTTAGGGGACATCCATCTTCAATAAGGCACGTTTGAATCATGCGAAGCCAGGAGCCCTGAGATTCATTTACAGTACCCCTCCCCAGCCGGGCGGCTTGACTGATAGCTGTCAGCCTTCTTCTTCTTCTTCTTCTTTTTTTTTTTTTCCCAACCCCCCTCCCTCCTAGATGAAAGAGGGAAAAAAAAAAAAAAAAGGCAGGGAAAAGAGAAAAAAAAAAAAAGAAGGGGGGGGCACAGAGGGGAAAAGTCAGGACAGAGTCAAAGGCGGAACAGCGTGGTTTAGCAGATAATAGGAAAGAACATAACCTCTCCCCGGGCCTCTGCCAATCCTGCACGCCCCTCCTCGCCCCTGCCTCCCCTCTCCCCCCTCCCTCTCCCTCTTGCCAAATCAGCAGAGCTCTCTCCTGCAAGCCCCACCGGGCCAGGCACTGCAGCACCACCGGGGAAGGAGGAGGAGGAGGAGGAGGAGGAGGAGGAGGAGGAGGAGACAGCATCACATGGAGCCCGGCCTCCCTCCTCCCCTCCCTGCTGTCTGGCCGGGGCCCATATGATAAATGACATATGTCATTCTGTCAGGAGGGAAGGGTGGGTCAGTGATGTATGACTCCGCTGAAAAGGAAATCGACTGTTTGGCACGGTGCGGCTCCTCTCCACCAGGATTTAGTTTCAGAACTCCGAAATGAATTCTCCCACGTTTCGAGTGCACACTCAGGGCAGGCGGGCCGACGAAGGAAGGGGACGGGCGGGCGCGGGCTGGGGAAATGGCACTCTGTCCTCCCCCTGCCCTTCCAGTGGCTGGCGGGGCCAGGAGAGATTTAAAAAAAAAAAAAAAAAAAAAAAGCACCAAACCCCGTTGGTTGGTCGGTCGGTCGGTCGCCGGACACCCGCAAGAGGCCACACACGCGTGTGTCAAAGTCCCCAGCAGTCACACGTGACGGGTCATTAAAAAAAAAAAAAAATGCCACTTAAAAAAAAAAGAAAAGAAATGGGAGTCTCAGGTTAGTCCTTTTTTTTTTTATTTATTTATTTATTTTTTCCTAATGGCAAAGGGCTGACACAAAAGCAAGATAAAAATTAGCATGTTTGAAGTAATCGTCCCACAGCTTGACATCTGCATAGTAAATTTTAAAGGAAAAAAATGTGTCAGACAGCCATGAGCGCCGCGCCCTCCCCCTTTCATTAGCTCACTGCCAGGGTGGCACCGCTGAACCTCATTACGGCGGGAGGATTTATGAAGCTGAACCCAATGGCAAAGAAAAGGCATCTGTCAATAATTGTAGGGAGCTGCACTCACAGCTTTGAAATCTCATTAAGTATGCAGTTATCAGGCATAAAGATCAAAAACATTACTCAACTCCGACAGAATCTTATGGAGGAACATTAATTAGCAACAGGCCTACAGTACAAAAAAAAAAAAAAAAAAGAAAGAAAGAAAGAAAAAGAAAAAAAAAAACACACACACACACACCCAGCCCACAAACCTAAAGCAACACTCCCCCTCCCGCCCGGAAAAAAATAATTCCCAGCATCTGAGACTGATCAAGAACATGAAACGAGAGAAACAACACACGCACACGCACACACACGCACACACACACACACAGAAAGGAGAGGGAGGGAAGGGGTGGGCGGCAGGCAGGGAGGGGAGCGGGAGGGCGGGGAAATTCGGTTGAGAAAACCTTGGCAGTGAGGAGAGAAAAGGAAGGAGCTGTCAAAGTTGAGAAGGATGTCAGCAGCCCGGGCCCTGGTGGCTGGGGCCTAGGAGTCCTCGGACCTTTTATCACGCGGCCCATCAAACCCAGACTCTGGGAGTCCCCGCCGCGGCCGCGTGAGGGCTGGTGGTCCCAGCGGCTGCTGCTGCAGGTCTGATCTGCAGCCCAGGCCCAGAGCACCAGGCCAGGACCTTCCTCCTCCTCCTGCCCTTGCTCACCTGGCATTCAGAGCAGGATGCAGGCCCCAGGGCCAGGAGGCAGGCCCTGCTTCCCCAGCCCCTTTGCTCCCAGCCCAGTGACGCTGGCAGCAAGACCGGGCTCCACAGGCCCTGGGCACCGGCCAGGGAACCACGGCGCTTCACCTTCCCTCTCTCCATCACCTTAGCACACCTTTGCTTCCTCCAAAGACACCCGAGCATCCTCTTCCCGCACGTGCACTCTCTCATTGTACGTCTGCATACGACCGCTCGCAACACGTCAGAAAATGCAACATACGTGTGGGCAGTGCACACTGAAACCGGGAGGCTCACGGGGCCTTGCAGACCTCCGTAGTGTTGGGGACAGGGCACCGCTCGCTGTGGGCGTTTTAACAGGTACCCCCCCCCCGGCTGGTGTGACGGCAGGGTCTCTGGAGGGGAAGGTGACATGCTAAGTCTCCTGTCCCACCACCTCCCCACCTCCTGCAAGCTGCACTGGCAAAGGATAATCTGCATGGGTTCACAGAAACATCCCACTGGCATCCTGTGTGCTCGGGGTCTCAGACAAACTTCCCTGGTGTCCTGTCCTTCGGGGCCCTGGATCCAGGGTGGGTGGGGGGTCTCCACCGCTCAGGTGTCGGTCCGGCAACCAAGACGTCATGCAACAGTTAGGCACCGCCCCCTGCCTCCCCCACGAAAGGTGCAGGATAATAATGATGTAGCAAAGAGCATGCATCTTATTTCTCTTATTGCACTGCTACAGGAAGGTGGCCTTCTCTGCTTCCCCGTAAACACATGCCTGCATTCTCTCTCTCTGTCTCTCTCACACACACACACATGCACACGCACACACACACACACACGCACACGGCACTTCCCACAATCCCACGCCATGAGAACACCCACAGAACAGCACTTCCTTTGATCTGAGCCCTATCCTTCCCCCCAGCCCCTCACCCTCTCCCGTGCCACACGCTTCCCTCAACCCACGGCCACTTCTGACGTGTGTGCCTCTCTGGTCCACGGAAGATAATGGTCACCTTTTATTAATTAGCCACATCTTTCAGAAAATCCGGCATTGAGACTCCTAGGCAACCAGCCTGCGGACCCTTCTCCAAGCCAAGGCCCATCTTTTCCAATAAACGCCTCTCCTCTGGAATATCAATGAACACGGCTCGAATAAATTGTCACCTGGGCCCAAAAATAGTCAGGGACATTTGTCCATAAACCAGACTTGACGAGAAAGGAATTCTAGCAACCCTGTCACAATAAGGTGTTTATGTTTTTTTTTTTTTTTATGTGCTTACCATATTACCCTTATTATGTGTAACATCAAAGTGATTATAGCAATTACATCTAACAGAATTAATTACAGAACTTCCCATCACTCTAAGATACATAATGTATTAGACGTAAGCCAAAGAAAGAAAACATCTTGATTGTAGTAACTATTGTTGGGATTCATCTTTCTCCCACAGCAGTGCCAAACCCACAGCAGCTTGCAGAGTAGTGAAAACCGGGAGGTTTATAGGAAATGAGGTATATTTTTTTCCTTAAAATGAAGTAACGCTTTTGCCTTAATAATACGCCGGCACTGGTGGACATATAAAAATCAATTTAATTTTTTTAAATGTAAATCGTTTAAAGGTGGCTGGTTAATCCACCCAACCAATGTTACTACATAAAGGAGAAAAGCACATGGGTGAGAGACTTACAAGTCTTTACGTATGCAAAATAAATTCACTCAAGGCTTCATTAATATTAATTTAAATTCAAAACCCATTTACATTAAATTGTTCATTAAAAATTGCCTATTTTATGCAACATGCATTTCTCAAAGAACTCGGAGGAAACTGAATACATAGGGCTTAGATTTAATGATGAGGATGGAAAATCAAAAGTAAATGAATCTGAGTCATCTCACGTAGATCACCAAGCAGCCCTGAGCTCTCCATGAAGGATGAGTTCCAGTTTGGAAAACAAACAAGCATTCTGAGTATTTTGTTTTCTGCTACCATGAACTTGTGAACATGACCTTCTTGGCCTACCACCGAGGAAGAAGAAGAAGGAGGGAAAGGGAAAAAGAAAAAAAAAAAAACAAAAAAAAACAAGAGAAATTGGTGGAATGTAGCTCAGCCAATACAAAACCGGCTTCGGAATAAAGCAGGTATCACGAGTGGACTCAAGGCCTTGACAGTAAGGCTTGTGTTCTAAAAAATGTACATGAGTTAGTGTTTGCCAGTGCCCATCGTGGTCTGGAACTACAGGGCTCTCCGTCCCCCTACCCCCTCACCCCTGCAATCCTTTATCCTCAATGCCGGGGCACCCAGCAATACCACGATGACAAGGAGTTAGTAAGTTTCTTGCCTTGGTTCCTTCCCGAGGAACCTACCCCTGTTTTCCCAACAGCTGTTCTGGATGAAGAAAACACAGTCATAATTAATAACATGTGTCCTGACAGTATGAATTAATAATTTATCATTAAGCCCAAACAAATCTAAATTACTCTTCAAGAGCCACACCTTTGCGTATCTGAGAAAATACGGGGAGGAGATGAGCAAGAAGTCCAGGTAACTTGGCCTTTAGCGAAACTCTCCCCCCCCACCAACCACCAGTCCTCGTCTCAGACCATCCTTGTCGAACCACTAAAACAATTCGCAGAATTGAAAGTGATTCCACCCAAGAATCTAAATGCTGATCGAACTAAATGCATGTGCTACAAATGTCTTCTCTTTTTTTTCAAAACGGGGCTTATGAAACATTCAGGACTTGGTCAAGGACACTGTATAATCTTTCCAACAAAGATTTTTGAGACCTGGAGTAAGACAGTTGTCCGGGCAAGTGGTCATAAGCAGATTATGTTCATTATTGTCTTTTTCTTCCCCTTCCAAAAAATGCATAGCGTTATTCTACTCACAAACAGTGACCTGAATTTTTAAGTCCACATCTAACGTAAATTTCTACAAATGTTGAAAAATTAAGAAAAACTGCTATGTCTGTGTATCCATTCCTTCACAATTCACATTTTCTTAAAAAAAAAAAATCCAGAAAGAGGCGGGGTGAGAAAAAGCATATTGATAGTCATTGTTTAGTAAGGATTTAAAAAATTAATTTAATGACTAACTGCAAATACTGGAAACTAGAATTAATCTGTCTGGATTTTTTTTTTAAAAAAAAAAAAAGGCTTACAGACATTTAAATGCATGTATCGGGACACTTTATCAACCTAACATAAAATTGTCATCTTATCTTATTATATGACTATTTTATGCATGTGTCAAAGAATTTAAAAATGACTGCCTGTCTATTGAGTCTAATTACAGCTGTGCATTATCTGTCTGGATGTACCAGTCCATATCATTGTTACTAAATACAATATATTGTATTCACCTTTCATTTTTTAAACTCCAGACAGGGAAACCACAATTTGGAGCATAACTAAAACACACACACACACACACACAGAGAGAAACAGAGAACACCTGAGAGGGTTTAGGATAAGTGATGCCACTGTTCTGTCTTTTGTCCTGTTTCCCCTCCCATGGGGAGGGGTGCTACAGGGGTGTCAGCAAAACAGCTTTTTTGAAAGACTCAGCCACCTAACTGAGCTAGACACTAGCACACAAGGGTAGACACACACCCTGCTTTATTTTATTTTTATTATTATTATTATGTTTTTTTTTTTTTTAATCTACTACAAGACCGGAGCTATTTTTACAGTCAGTCCAGTGACAGGCAGGAATAAAAATGGGCCGGTAGGAAAAGCCTCCCAAACTGCACTTGAAGTAACTGTGCAGTGCTGGTGGCATTATTGGATTAAACATGGCTGGTGCACACCCGGACCAGGGACTTCCCGACTCCTTTGCCTCCTGCCTCCTTGGCTGCTTGCGTGTTGCAGCCGTCACCCTGCCTGGCTCTGCCACGACACGTGTGTGTGTGTGTGTGTGTGTGTGTGAGAGAGAGAGAGAGAGAGAGAGAGCAAGCGAGAAAGAGAGAGCGAGCACCCAGGAAGGTCCAGGCACTCTGCCCTCCAGAAGGTGGATCCTGCTCCTTCCAGAGATCCCCAAAGTGGAGGGGCAGGGCATGAAAGGAACGGTTATCATTCTGCAAAACTCACCTGGGTTCCGTGGCATTTCCCACGGCCCTGAGCAGTCACCTCTCATTTTAATCACTTTGCAAAAACAATCTTTAGTAAAAAAAAAAAAAAAAAAAAAAAAAGGGTGAAAAAATGCAGGCTTGGTGAGGCAATTGCGGGGATAACTGCTGATACATCAGTTATTGACTACCCGGCTCCCGTTTATGAGCGCGCTCAAGGCAAAACCGAGAACAAAATGACAACATCAACCGCTCACAATCAAGTGTGGCCCTGGAGAGCACTGAAGCCCTCACTGACAGGTGTCAAGATAATGGGGGGGGGGGCACGGCAGCTGATTCTGGAAGATTCTCTTCCCTCCCAGTGTGCATGTCCAGGGGAATAGCCTTGCCCCTCATCCCCTTTGTTTTTTTTTTCCCCCCTTCGTCTTCCTGATTTTCCTCTTTAAAATCTGCATTGTTCCTCTCATGTCTCTCATTTCGTAGGAAATGGGGTAAGGGATGGGGAGGAAATGCACAGAATGGTCAAAAAACAGTGGTTTTTTGCCTCCTTGCTGCAGAGCAGATAGGATACCTGCGCAAGGAAAGCTGCTAAGTCTGTGCAAAGGGGAAATGGCAGGTTTGAGAGCAAATAAATTCCCAAGGCTGGTGCCGAAATGCCCTTCTGAATGCTCCATGTGCTTTCCAAGAGCAGGGAAAAGCTCCTCTCTCTGGAGCTTGCCGGATGTGGGGACCAGACTCAGGACGGTGCTCTCCGGAGGCCACCAGGTGGGCCCCCTCTCAGGCATGCCCTGTCTACCTGAGCCCCCTCTGCCTGTCCCACGGGGACCTGCCGTGTTCTGTGGCTCCAGCACATCCCGAGGGGCCCAAGTCACCTTCACAGAAGGCAAGATGCCTGGCCATCCACCTTCCCATGCCACCCCCTAAGAACTCCATGGAAGGCTATTTTCTTCCAGCGAACAAAACTCAAAAGGTCACTGCCAAGTTGTTGTTCATTGAGGATTCTTTTTTTTTTTTTTTTAATCCCCCTTTGGAAGGTTAGGCAATGGCCTTTTATGATTTCACATTTTCCTCCAGAAAATTAATATGAATGGGCAAAATACTATCTGCCAGTAAGTATTTTACGCTCATTTATTTTTTTTCTTTCTTTTCAGAGACTACTTGTTCAAAAGCAAACACAACAGATAGGTGACAGTCCCATTTTAAGCAAGGGACAATGGTCGTTTCTCCCGAAGGACACTGTCCTTCCCTGACCCCATGTCTCTGACCTTATCCGGGCAGTAAAAAACATCTGTCCAGCACAAACACACGCCACCCCTGGACAGCACAGGTTTCAAAAAGGGCAACTCCCACCCAGGTTTCTCTTCCTTCGGCAGGTAAAGAATCCGCTCTCTCCCTGAGGAAAAGGCACTAAGCTATGCATGATTTTCTATCAAACAAGCAAACAAACAAAAAAAAATCCTAAAGTACAGAAATATGTCTTTTCAGGGATTCTTGGAGGCCGATTGGGCCTTCCGGAGAGCAGGGCTGCCCTCGGCCTAGACAGAAAGCCCGGGTGCACCTGGGTGCCGCGTCTACACAACGTCGTTGCACAGCTCCCGGCCTTTTGTGGTTGTTATTCTACCCCAGACCATTAAAAGGGCCCTAATTCCTATGACATGATTATCCAGGTACCAAAGCCCATTTGTCACCTGCAGCAGAAAATTGAGTTAATGCACAACTAAAGGCAGCCAGGACTGTGTAATATCAACTTGATTACATCAAACTAGCTGCAAACCTAATTCTGCTGGATGACACAGCGTCGAGCTTGTCATCTCCAATCATTAAAGCTGTCAGGGATCCATCAGGTTTACAGCTAATTAGGTGAACACTAATGAAGCTGGCAAAACAACTTTTCTTTTTTTATGGCTGAGCGGACCTTTCAGTTTGGAGTGGGGGGGGGTGGTTAAAAAAAAAAATTCTGGAGTATTCTCAAGGTTGCTGGGGACTGGATTTCCAGTTTACCAATCCACAGACATCTTTCTTTCTCCCACTCTTCCCTACAAAGCAATCAATGTGCCCTGGCTCCCAGCAGGCCACAAAAGCAGGCAAGAGCCTTCTCGCTGGCAGTTGTGAGAACTATAAAAAAAAAAGAGGAAAAAAATGGGAAGTTTCTTATCCACCCAAACCCACAAACAAAAAAAAAAAACAAAAACAAAACAAAAAGACCTTATGCCGCCACTCACTTTTTGGGCTGTGCATACTTAGCACCAGCCTATATGTGCAGGGTTTTTTTTTTTTTTTTTTCTGCACTCTTCTTAAATAAGTAGCTCTCCAACCAGCCTTCACTCCCCTCCTCCACACGTCCATTAGGCAGAGGCATTCTGATAAACTAAATCCAAAACCAGGGTATGGGAAAGAAAGAAAGCACTCACGCTGCCAACTTCTGATTGACCATTAAGCTATTGATGAATGTGCCTGTCAGAAGAGAGACAATTAAATCAAATATGAAACAAAGTCGTTTTGACGGGTCATTTTGATAGAGCAAAACCATTCTTCCATCTCCTATTAGTCCTGCAGTCAAGTTTTTATATAAATGAATTTTTTTTTTCTCTTAACTGACCTGAGACTTTCTGGCTGGCATTTTGAAAGGTGCAAAACAAGCAAACAAACAGACAAACAAAAAAAAAAGGGTTAGTGAACAGGTTGCTTTTTAAAATATAAATAAATAAAACCAACACTCTACGCTTCCTCTTGCTCTGGCATTTTCTGAAGGAAGTTATGGAATAACAAGACTCTCTCAGGTTGGCAGGGTGCAAGAGAAAAGATGAACCGTAGAGAAAGTACTAAACCAAATGCAAAGATGTAATCACATATGGTCCGTTTGATTGAGGCGTACAGATACCTTAAAATGTGTATCCAAAAAGGAAAGGGAAAAAAAAAATTTTTTTTTTTTCAAAGTCTGGAAGAAGCCCAAGACATTCCTACTACCCAACTTTGTGAAGGATTCCTCCAAAGTTTCAGAGTTTATTTTGGGTAGATAAGCTCATTGCTGGAGCTTGGAATTTAAAGTAGAAGGTGGGATGGGCAAACAGCACCAGCCAGGAGGTGAGCTGGGAGGCGGCACTCTCCCTACAATCACTACTGGGATCCTCAAACTTTCTAAATTTAGGCAACACTGAGAGAACACAGCAAAACCTGCATCACAAGCCCTCCGCCAAGCCTGTTCGCCTCTGAGGTTTTTCTTCAGACACTAGCAGGCAGGTACATTTCTGGGAGAAGGAAGAATAAATAGCATCCCCTGTCTGTGACCCTGGGCAAAGGGGTCTAGAGCCCAGAATGCGGCCACTGTGTGAGGTCCACTGGCCGAGGTGCCCGCTGGCACGATGGAGATTAAGGGCACCCGGGGAACCACGGGTGCACCTTGACCCAAAAAAGGGCACCAGCCAATGCCCTGACCCTGCCCTCTGCCCTCCCCTGGGAGGGACATCCAAAGAGAAGAAGAGAAGTGAGAGAAAGGAAGTGCAGAGAAGAGAAGACATGAACTCCCCAGTAACCTTCGCCTTCAGGCAGCATCTGAACCTCTGCACATCTGAGTGTTACTTATATCAAAATACATCACAGTCCATATGTGGTCCTCCCTGCAGGCTGCCCCAGATCTCCGAAGTTGCACTGACAGGGCCCTCCTGACGTCACAGAGCTCGGCCTCACCACTGCAAGTGATTTATTGATGTTTATTGGGAATGAATAGATCAAAGGCAGCAGCATGACGGGCGATCAATCAGTCATCAAATCAAGGGTGGCAACGGGCCAGAAACCCTTCTTCAAGGCAACATGCCCCCAACCGACATTATTGCAAAATAATGTTGTGTGTGTGGTTTTTGTGATGCCTTTTCCAAAAAACAAAACAAAACAACAACAACAACAACAAAAAAAAAACTGGCTCAGTCTTAAAAGGAGTTGACACTCCTGGTTAAAAAAAAAGAAAGAAAGAAAGAAAAAAGAAAAAAAGGAGGAACAAAAAAGTACTCAGACACGTCCCACAACTAAGTGCTAGGAGGAGATGCGGGTGGGCGCAGCAGAAGGAGGGGTGAGGGCCAGAGAGCTCGAACAGGGGTGAAGGCGACGCCAGCATCCTGCACTGACTTGACAGTCATCTGACAATGCCCAGACCCCATGCGCTCTGGTTTCCACCGCTGTGCCCAGTTTGGGCCCAATAAATAAAGACTCGATCGGATTAGCAGCAAGGTGGCCATAGTAGAGTCCTGCTCGCTGGCTCGCTCACTCTCGCCTCCCCGGGCGGACACCGGGCTGTCCCCGCCGGCCGGCCGCGGGAGGACACGGAAGGTGTCCCGGGGAACTCAGGTGACCCCGCCTGCCCCCCACGGAAAGAGGCAGGCGAGGGCTGCCTCCCATCCCCGCTGGGGCCAGAGCACGGAGCCGGCAGGGACCCGGCAGCCCGGCTCTGTCCGCCCGAGAGCGGTTCCCCGAGTGGGCGCGAGAGCGGAGAGGGCAGAGCGCGGCGGGGCGTCCGGGGGCGCCGGTGCCCGAGCCGGGCGCACGCACCCAAACAGGGGAGCAGCGCCCGAGCCGGGCGCCGGGAGTTACTCTGCGCGGGCGCCGGGAGAGGGGCAAGGAGTGGGGCGGCGAGCCGGGTCGCCGCCTGCCAGAGGCGCAGGGCGAGGAGAGGAAGAGGAGGAGGAGGAGGAGAGGAGGAAGGGGAAGCGGTTCGTACCTGCTGCGCGCCGGGGCGCCTGCTGCTTCCTCCTCGGCATGATGCTCCTCCGGCGACTGCCACCGCCGCCGCCGCCGCCGCCGCTGCCGGCCGAGCAGAGGGAGGGAGGGAGGGGCGGCGGGCCGCGGGGGGGCGAGGCGGGCCTGCTCTCAGCCTCCCCCCCGGAGAGCGGCCGCCCGCAGGATGCTGCTGCGCCCCGACTCTCGCGTCCCCCCCTCGCCGCGCTCCGCCGCGAGCCCCGAACGTGCGGAGGGAAGAAGGAGGGCGGGCGAGGGAGGCGCGGGGAGGGAGGAGCGCGGGGGGAGGAGGAAGCAGAGGAGGAG